ATATTATAATTTATATTCCTATTTACTAAGCTTGTGCAAACTTTCATGCACACACACACTTACACAATAATAGTCCACCTCAAATGTGGCAAGATAAATGATTTCACAGGCTCTTAGTGTAGTGCTTTGGGGAAATTTTGGAATTTAATTTAGGAACATATGTTTAAAACTTTAAATCTTCTCATACCTCTTGGGGAAATGTATAATAATGGAAATTCCTAAATATAAGAGTGAACATCATAGTAAATACACAGCCATATAAATTCATACATACAACACATACATGTATAAGTTAGAAGTCAACACTATTTATTGTGCCCTATTACTTGTAGTAGTCTCTGATCTAGGTACTAGGTTTGGATTGATAATTAAGAAATAAGGCATTTTTAAAAGCTGAAATCCATATTGTGGAACAGTTATTAAAATTTTGTTTGAACACTAGATTAGACATCTTAAAATGAATGAACAGAATGCAATATTATATGTATATATTGTATCAGAAATATCCTTGTTATATATACTTTATATGAAAATCAGAAAAATAATGAAGACATATAAGAAAAAGGCTTCATTATTATGCCAGGACAAATCAATTCAACTTTGTTTTTAAATTTTGTGCAGTAAAATAGAATATGTTGTAAAAAGACAATAACAATATGTGTGAATTTTTTGTGTGGTGCTGGGGCCTAATTCCAAGAACTTGTGCATAGTGGGTAAGCACTCTGCCCCTGATCTATGGCTCATGTTCCACACACATACAATTTTTAAATTATATCAGATCTGAATAAATTTTATCTATATAATATTTTTCTTTATGAATAATTTATCTATCTAGTATATATTTAGTAAATATTTTACTTGGTTTGTTATACTTTTTAAATTTTACTAGACCATCAAAGAACATCATACTTTGTATTATTTTTAAGCCACTGTAAAAAATATAAAATACATCTTCTTATTACAAAATAAGATCATAAAACTGGATATTTATCTTGTATCTTGCTACCTATCTGACCTATCTTACTAACTTTTCAGGACTTTAAATTTCTGTGACTTTTTTTTTTTTTTTTTTGTTGGTAGTATTTTATTTTATTTTATTTTTTTTACACATCCATTGATTTACATATTGCCATACTAGTGACTGTCATGTTCTGCGACTTATTTTATCGTCAAAATTAGGTTATGTTATCCTCTAATTGACACTTATTATATATTTGTTTCTTGCTTTAATTATTTGTTGACTTCATTAAAATTAATTTAAGTAGTTATTCAAATCTATTATTTTGATTCTCCATTTATCATTTTGGTTATTTATTATTGTTTTATTGAATTAATTAGGCTTCTAGTCCCAACTTATTAGTTTACTAAGAGTGTCTATATTGTACTTAGTAACATTCAACACACTTTATCAGATGACATTTTTGTTTATTCAAATTATATTGATGATTCTCATTTTCCATTCTAATATGACAGGTTGTATTGATTTCTTAATTATGTTTCTACCAAATTATTTTCTTTTATTTCAGAAACATTTCTGAAACTTGTTAATATCTTGAAAAATTCTGCCTTAATTTTATTTACAATTTTGGTCATTGTAACATTGTCTTATAGTTCCTTTTCCTCTTCTACTATTATCAGGTATTAGCATCTATTTTGTGAACTTTAAAAAATTAATATCAATGTTTTTATCTTGAATTATATTCTAATAATATTAAATGTAATTGGAGTTATAAGATTTTTAAAAATCAATAAATATTTATGACAAAAATTGAGACTTTCAGAGAATTTCATAAGGAAATTATTTTTTAAAATATTTTAATCCTTACTATGGTTAATTTTATTCACTTTTCTTCTTTATATTGTGCTTGGGAACTTCCATTTCCTTGAAGTTTTTTATGATATCCTGATTTAACAAACTTACTAGTAAAAAAATTCTGAATTATTTTTAAATAATCATAACTATAGTTCTTTCTTTCTCTCTCCTTCCCTCTCTCCTAATCCTCCTTCTGTTCCTTCTCATTCTCCACCCCCACCCCCCACCATCTATTTTGCTTCATAAACAAACTGAGTCTATGCATTATCCTTTATCTGAAACCCTTTGGGTCAGCATCTTGAGTTCTCCTTTTTGTTATGTTTTATATAAAGTGTGGTTGTATTTATTATTTAAAATATTCAACTTATTAATGAATTTAACATGTGTATTTTCTTTCTTATTGTCTGAAATTACCTAAACAATTACTGATTATTGGAATATACCTATAGAATAAAGAGGTACTTTGATTTTGTAGTTTACTTTGTGGCCACACTTAAAAATTTACAGGAAAAATTGAATACACTTTTTGTGTCATAAACATTTATTATAAACCTGATAATTCAATCTTAATAATTATAAAATGTTTGTCTTTCATTCTCTTTGTTGTTCAAATACTAACAGTGATGTGATAAGGAGTCATGCTGTAATTTGTCAATTTCATATCTAGTCCTTAGAGTTTTTACCATATATTTTAATAACATGCTTTTAGATTATGTAATTTTGAATTTAATGTGCAGTGCCTTAATTTTTAGCTTATCTGATATTAGTATCACAAGCTCTGTATATTTGGTATTTTCTTATAAATGATTGTCTATACTAAAAATCTCTCTGAGCCCTAATGTTCTTAATTATTATTTTTTGTCGGGAAGGGGGGGTACCAGGAATTGAACTCAGGAACAGTCAACCACTAAGCCCTATTTTGTATTTTATTTAGAGACAGGGTCTCACTGAATTGCTTAACACCTCACTTTTGCTGAGTCCAGCATTGAACTCACAATCCTCTTGCCTCAGCCTCCTGAGCTGCTGGGAATACAGGCCTGTACCGAGGCTCCCAGCTGTCCTTAATATTTTAAAGTGACTGTGTTTTGTCATACTACTAGGATTTTGTGCATGTCTTTTCCTGTATCTGTAAATCTAATCCTTACAATCTTCATTTATTACATTCTCACTCATCTTTCAATCTTAAAGTTTATCATTAAGGAAGTTCCCCACAGTTTCATCTATGTCTAACCTATACAACAAAATGATTCATGCTTTTGTATTCTGCTTTTCTATAACACATTAATATGGAAAATTTTCAGTTTTTCTGTCATGATTTGAATACCTTTTATCTCCACAACTAGGAAATAAGCTCTGTCAGCACCGAAAGGGAGGTCCATCCTAATCTATGGATTGTTAGCACTGATTATTAATGCCTAACACATGCTAGATAATCAATGCTTACTAAGTAAATGGGTAGAAATATCAGGAAACCTGTCTACTTACCTTTATCTATAAGTAAAAACACAAGACGGATATTCGTTCAATTTTTGTTGAGACTATAGAATAAATTTTAATTACTTTTCATTGTGCTCAAATTCTGTAGCCTCATCTTCTATTGATTTTACTCTCTAATATACAAGATTACTTGATATTCTCTGAATATGTCATGATGTCTCTCATGGTATGCCTTGCACATAATGTTTCTTGTGTGTAGATACCATCTGTATGTCTTTATGCCCCACAACCTCCTGAAAGCTTGGATAACATTTCCTGGCTTGAGCATCCTGGCCAAGGTGCAACCATTCTTGCACTACCCAACTTCTGTGCCTTGGGGATGACTGTTCTATTTATATTTACTAGAATATATATCTGTAATTATTTCCATGATTCTGTTCCCTCCCAGGTCTATAGTCTCTCCTTCAGAATAAGATCTGTCTTTTATTTTATTATTTCAATATATTTAATTGGCAATCGGAGCTAGCCTATGTTCAAAGTATACAACATGATTGATACATGTATATACGTGTAATACCATGATCAAATGAAATCAATATATTCATCACCACCCATGTGATCACCAGAACTTGTTCATCTTAAAACTGAAAGCTTGAAAAGTGTTTTCATATTTTTTTCAATCACATGGTATGCAACAATAACAACACTGCAAAGAATGCTGAAGGAATATGCACATCATTTATGCATGTTTTAATTAATATTATGAAGGAATTGGAAACACTGAAAAAAAAGCACAAAAAATGTTCACATTTAATGATTTATTTTTTAAGGGAAATACAGCAGGTGCTGAAAACTTCATGACTTAGACCTTAAGCCTCAACTAAGGAGTGCTAGACTGGAAACCTTCTTGGCTTTGCTGAATACAATCATGTGTTTAGTTAAAAATAAATAATATGGACAGAATATTCAGGGAATAATTAGATGTGGATAATTTTTCCACTGTGACCCTTTTTTTTCATTTATATTGTTTTACTTTGAAAGTATAGGTTTTGTTTTATTTTGATTTTTTTTTAAAAATGACATTTCCTTGAGAATATTTTCAATTAGTATTTTTTATTTCTGTTTGAATAGTTTAACTCTCTACTGAATAATCCTGCTATAATATTTAATAAACCTATTTGTCTAGAGATAACTCATTATCTCTGCATTGAATAAGAAAAATATTTTAGACATATTTTCATTCGATGTGGTGTAAATTTGTGAATACTTATAGCTACATTCTGTGTTCCAAATTCTGTATTTACAAGAATTATTATTCTTCAGGAATATTTAGGTAGGAATATTCCATATAATGATTATTTAGCATTTTAAAAATTACAAACTTTTCTATCAGCAACTGAATTGTCAACTAAATACTTTTAATGATCAAAGCTTGTTCTAAAATGCATTTCAATAAAATATTATGTTCTTTTCAATAATGCATGAAACTGTCTTTGTATATTAGCAAAATCTTTATTCTAAAGAAAAAATGATTATTTAAAGGAATGCACAGAGAACATTAATAGTGGACTAGGAGCTTTTTGTTATTGTTGTTTTGTTAGTTTAAAGTAATTTGTAAAATTTACTGTCACTATTATTACCTATATGTTCTATCCTAGAAACTTTGTCCTTTTTAATGTTTATTTATATAACATGTGACCAAAAATATCTTTATTCATTTTTCTTTCTCTTTCTTTTTAACATGCTGCAGTAGCTAACATATTATGGAGAGAAGAAGGTATTAAATTCCACTATTTATGATATGGTTGTAACTATTTTGCTTGATTTTCATTATGTTTGGTGATTATCATTCATTTTGATAATTAACATATTATTTTTGCTTTGATTTAATTATTTGATTTAATTACATTTCAATATCTTGTGTAAAATTGCTAACATTATGTTTTTTCACTTTGTATCTCCTTGAGTAATATTGGTATGTAGCCAGAAAATTACACTATAATATATTGAAATGATTTTAAGAATATAAATTTCAGTCAAAGAACCACAACAATTGCAATTAACATAACTTGCATAATAAACCTTGATTAAGTGAGAATTAGAATAATTATAAAATTCATTGCCTTAGCAAGGGAATATAATAAATTATATAAGAAAATGGGTTGCAAGCTTGCAGGACCTCAATTCAAATGTCTTTGCCACTGCAGAACATAGAAAAAATGGGCAGCCTTTTTAAGTCACAATCTTCTTATCTCAAAAATAAGAATAGTTGTTGGTTCCTTAAACATAGTCAGCACTTAATAAGTGGTGTTCGCAAGCATTTACAATGACCATTGTTGTTTTTTTTTTTTAACCAGTTAGTAAAAAATCCTGAAAGAATGTGTTTGTCCATGTACTTCAATTAAATTATTAGGAGATAAATGTCTGTGAGCCATAATTTCACTCCTGTTAAATAACAGCATGAACTGTCTTCACAATCCACTCTACAGACACTTCCTCTTCCCCAGTTATAGCTTCTAAAGGAAATGAAATTTGCTGCTCCTGTGAGAACCAGACTAAAATAATTCTGGAATGTTGCCATCCACTTCTGTTCTCAATGATGAGCTATTCTACCTATTTTCCCTGCGTAATATTTGTTGCTCCTTAGGTCTTTTGTTGAAATTCCTTTAAAACTGACTTAATAAAGAGGTTCTAGTGTAACTCCATGGTATCCTTCTATTTCACTTGGATATCTCACATTTCAGTGCTCACAATTCATTTGTTATTGAAACCTGTATCAACATATCTTTTGATATACTATTTTCCCTCTTGAGATCAAATAAATATTTCTATAAATTGTCTTCCTTCTTGAGATCAAATAAATATTTCTCTGGGCATTTAAAAAATTCATTCCATTTCATCATTGTAATAGAAGATATAACATCTACGGAGTCTGTGGTTGAGTCCCTCAGATATGGCTCTAATGGCTTATTGTTGGGAAAAACTGGATGAATAATTTAGCCTAAGCCAGATCCTCTACCACAATGCTTGAAATACAATTGGTACTCTCCTTACAAATCTGTGATAGGTGAATCAACTTAAGGTATTGGAAACAAATATTGTCATTACATTTTGAATTTGCATCACAAATGTTATGAACATTATTACTTTATAATAATCTTAGTGCATAATAACAATTTAGTAATATTCTTCAAGCCACTCTCAAAAGTAAACAAGGCCTTCAGATTGAGTAAAAACACACTGAAATTTATTGTATGAAACCAATTTATTGAAACATTTTTTCTAGTATGTTTGGGAGATATAAATTCTCAGTAATTAGTCTCCATCAATTGATCATGCTCTCACTCTTAATGATTTTCTTTGACACAATAAATGCTTGGGAAAAATATCTATTTAGATACTTTTCAGATAATTTCAAGAAACATAAGAAATAACCCTGGGAAAATTTAACTTTTTAAAAAATTTTATGTGTGATCATTGTCATAATATATTATTGTTCCTTAAACAAGATTTTAAAAAATAGATCCCAGAAAACTACATTTTTTATTTTGATTCATAGACATATGTAAATTATTCTTTACTCTGCCACAATTATTGGAAAGGCATTGCAGTTAGAATAATGATTAAATGTAATCACAATTACATATAATGGTAACCAGAGAGACAGATGAGTTTGAAGAATCATTGAATCTTCACAGTGTATATTAAAAAGTAAATTTCTATCACCATTTTTGAAAATTCGAATAATATCTAATATTTGTATTTTGCATAATATTTATATATATTATATTATTTGTTATTATTCTATTTTTCTGAGATTCAATTTTATTATCATTCTAGAATTGTTTGATTTGGTTATGTTTGCATCTTTATTATGCTGCAATCATGTATCCCAGAGAACATCAACTGAAGAATTTCAGACACTTTAAGGTCAATAATAGTGAAAATGACAATACTTTGCATAATTTCATTTTATGCATTGGTGTTAAAGCTATATAATCTTAGGCTAATAATTATATGATAGATTTTTTTTAACATAAGCCTTGGATTCTAGCTTAACTAAGAGTAATCTAAAAAAAATTTCCCGATTTTAGAATGCATTATCTACCACTTCAAGTTGGAATAATGTCCTCTATTTCTCTGTGTTCTGGTTTCAGTTCTTTTCTACTCATCATTATAGCTTATAAGAATGTTGAAAGGCAATGTTAAGAGAAGAAATATCTCACTCATTTGTGAACAAATATTTTAAACTATCCATTAAATGTTCTCTAAAAACTTTGGAAATTTAAGCATATATAAGACAATATTGGCTCCCAAGAAATGTTAAATCTACTGGATTAAAGCTCAAATCATTCTTCTGCCAGTCATTTCAGTAGATTTTTAAAATGCAAATTATTGATTTTATTCAATAATATATTTATTATAATCAAATAGAATAAATATAATTTAACAAAATATTTCCTAATATTTATTTAATAAGCAAGTAGTTTGGATGTGTATTATTAAGTCTAAGAATAATAAATGCTGTGTATAGCATAAGCACTGGATTAAAGGAATTTAAAACATTTTATTCACTGAAAGTCTTATCTTATATACTTACTTAAAGATTGGTTTTAGGTAATATTGTTTAACCCAATTTACCTAATACTCAGAAAACCCACTTCCTGGATTACTAGTGCCTGTAAAAAAGGATGGCACAATTCTTTCCAAGAAACTTTGTAGTAAGGATGAAAGAGTAAGCAAGTCATGAGTATATGTGTTTATTGGGGATAAAACACAGGGCTCCATCCATAAGCAAGTTTTATTTCAGTTGAGCATACCATAAAGACCTTTTTGAAGTTCATTGATATAATTTTATTGTGTATATGAAGATGTTATAGCTTCAAAGATAAGGTACAAACAATAGGAACATTTATGCACTAAAAATCTATCTCTGCTGAGTTATTTAAGGTGATAATGCAATGTTGTCCATCTATTCTTGTTACTCCTTAAGTTTAAAATTGGAATTTCTTCAGTATTTCTTTTTTTTTTTAAAAAAAAAAGGTAAAGCATTCTTTTTTTTAAGCTTTATTTTATTTATTTACTTTTAAGTGGTGCTGAGGATCGAATCCAGTGCCTCATATGTGCTAGGACCACTGAGCCACAACCCCAGCCCCTTCTTTTCAATTGCAATAAAGCATATATGTTAAGGGTGACAGGAAAGTCAAATGATAATAGCATCAAGGAAAGATTTTGTGCAACATGAAAACTAGTAAAATACCTTTGATTCCCAAATCACAACATCATAGAATTGTCACTTGCTATTGACAGTTATATAATTGCTAAAGCAATGACAATTTAATTCAGAGGAAGAAAAATGTCACCATAAACTCTCTTCTATGGGTAAATAATATATGCATCTACCAGTCAGAAAGAAACCAAATTTTATCATTGTATAATCATTATCATTATATGGTCTGTATGCTATGTATAATAAAAGGTGCAATTATCTTACCACAATATACCATTGTTTTTGAACAGATTCCAATTTCCAAAGGATTGAGATAGGAATGTGCATTATGAAAGAAAAGTGACCACAACACTCAGAGCAACCAAGAGATCTTTATTGCAGCAGTGCAACAGAGGAGAAAAGAGAGAAAGAAAAGAGAGAGAGAGAAAGCGCGTGCAAGAGAGAGACAGAGAAAGCAAGAGAGAGAGGCCCAGCAGGAGGGAGTTTTTATAGCCCAAATCTAATGGGGTCTCTGGGTCTGCAAGCTGCCTTGTTGGCACACAAGGGGGTTAAGTGTTAGGCCTGGAGTGGCGAATTGAGTGTTTAGCCTTGAGCGGGGGCTTGGACATTTGGGCTTGAAGCAAACAGGTGATAAAGAACCAGACGGAGGGTTAGAGAAGCCAGGTCATCCTGCAGCTAACTTGGTTTGGCATGACCTGCAGACAGCTTACTCAGCCTGTCCTGCACCTAACACATTACATCCATTTTTTTTTTCCCCTCAGTCCAATTCATGCATTTAAAGGTGCAATATTGATTAGAAAATCCTCTGGGAAATATTTCTTTCTTATAAGACTTCAAATAATTCTTGCTTATGTCTCTTCTCTGTATAGAAAAATAAAAGCAAAAAGAAAGCTCACGAGCAACAAATAAATTATGGATTACTTTCTAGAGCCTCTATATTCCATTACATTAACAATCGACCTGGAAAAGACAAAGTATATGTGTCTGTCTTCGCTAGGGTGAAAAACAAAAAACAGCCGTCATGTATTCCCAATCTTGTGGAACTAGAATGACAGAAGATTTCACTAAATTTGTTAATGTTTTTAATTTACTGCAACAAAACTAATTAAAGGAGAGAGAGTTTTAGTTTAAATTGACATCATATACTTGAGATCCAGGACTCCTTAAAAACTTTAAATATTATTGAGAACTGAAGAGGTTTTGTTTGTTGGCTATCTCTATCAGTATTAAGATATTAGAAATTAAAGCAAGAATTTTTAAAAATTGGTAAAATTTTAAGAACATGCATAGTATCTGAGAGGTGTAACTCTATGACCAAACATATGCTTAGCATGTGCCAAGGGCCAGGGATTGATCCTCAGCACCAAAAAAAAAAAAAAAAAAAAAAAGTATAAAATAAAACCATAATAAAACAATTACATGTCACCATAGATCATACTTTATATTTTAAAATACACATTTTCAAAAAAATAGCAAATTCCCATTGTTTTACATTTTCCAAATTTTCAAAAAATTTTAATGGAAGATGCTAGATTCTGTGTTTCTTTCTGCATTTGTTAGAGAATTAGAGAAAAAATGCAAATGATTTTTGGTATTATTATGAATATAGTTTTGACTTGACAGACCTCCTGAAGGAATCAAATCTAGAAAATGTTTTACCAGAAAAACAACATAAATTTTAACAGATCGGGCTGGGATTGTGGCTCAGTGGTTGAGTGCTTATCTCGCATGCAGGGGGCACTGAGTTTGATCCTCAACACCACATAAACAAATCAAATAAAAATATTTTTTAAAAAATTTTTAACAGATCATGGATACTGGGAAAACAGGGCTTAAAATAAGATATCACAGAAAATGGAAATTTAGCATGGAAAACTGAAATTTACCAAGCAAATGATCATACAGACTAATTAACACTCCCATGTTAAAAAAAAAAAAAAGTTAAGTACTTATTCTGTGATTTGCCTCTGATCTGTCTGAATGAGAAGAAGGAAATTTATCTTCTTTGCCACATTCTCTTATCCTTTCCCTTCATAAAAGATATGGAAACCAAGTAGTTAATATGAATATACACAAATACATTATTGTAATGTTTACACATGAAACTAATGAATGCACAAATGAAAATTCACATGATCCTTTAACTTCTAACATCTCTCTCAGGTATTTTACATTACTCTCTCCTGAGTATATTTTTAACAAATTTACAAAATGATAATGTTGTTACCGCTGTTGACCGGTGACAAGTTCTTGCTTCCCCAATGTTGAAGAATAACACCAAAGAAGCATGCCGAGGCAAGGTCAGAGTAGAAATTAGAAGTTTATTAAAGGACAGCAGAAAAGACTTCTCCTGGAGGAAGATGGGGACCCAAGAGGTGGAATCCGTGGAAGGGATGTTGTCTCCCCTTTTTATAGTTCTTTCAGTGATGGAATGTAGGTGGGAAGGACCTAGGGGTGGGACACAGGTGGGCCAAAGAAGTAATCTGGTCAGGAAGGACTTCTGAGTCAGCACCTTTTTGCTGGGGGCTGTTCATTAACATTTCTTTGAGGTGGACTTTGGCCTAGGGCCTTTTCGGACCTCATTAACATTCCTTGAGTTGTCCTGCGTTTCCCTGAATCATTGCCAGCATGGCCTCCATTTTAGATTTCACTCGGTATTAGACCCAATTTACCTAACTACACTGACTACCTAACTTTAAATCTGGCTTCAATGTTGTAGCAGCAAATTTAAAAAGAAGCACATCTTATTCCTATGTTCAGATAATAAACTCTGCTGCTAAAAATCTAAATAATACTTTTGAGGAACAAAGTAAGCTTTAGGAAAAACAAATGGCCTAATAGTGCCTCTCTTGTGTGAGGAGGGGAGAAATTCACAGAAAGCTCTAAAAGCATAGATAAAACATCATGTCACAAGTGGTATGATTAATACATTGGTATTTATTGTATTATTATAACCAATATATAGTATTTGCTGTCATTATTTTTTAATAAACACTAAGGAGTTATATTTCCACTAAAACAATCAAATAAAAAAACAAGAACTCAGCCTTGCATAATGTATTTATATTTCATCTTCTATTTGTAATCTCTATTTTATACTTTATAAAAATGCTTATATGTATTTCATACATTTAAAAGCAAGGAGTGGACTTTGAGATATAAAAGAATGATTTGAGTGGATTAAGTGGTTTTTAAAGGAAAATATAACTCAGAAATTTCATTGGTGCAATGAATCACAGTGGAATCCCAATGATTCTGTTGTGCACAAATTGTAATAAAAGTAAATAATATGCTAAAAGTATCCAGAGGGCTGGAGGGAAATATATCCAGAAACTTTGCAAGCAATCTGGACTCCATAATTCTTAATTTCAAACATACTCAAATTCATGATTGTAGGGAAGAATTTTATAAGATCTATTAGAAGGCAGTTATGTTCATTCAAAACTAGGAAGAGCTTTGTGATAAATATCAACCATAGTAGGTAACTGGCACAGTTGAAAATCAGACACCATGTAACAACTTTCTTATCTTCATAAGTTTCAACCAGAAAACTCAGGGCCCAGTAATGTTAAATTGATAGTTATTGATATATAGGACATATCAATCTAATGTTAATGTTTAAATGCAGGTTTTGCTGATACAAATCAAAATTTTTGACATAAACACTGATAGTATTTGTTATGTTTTATCCTTTAGGAATGGAATTTACATTTCTTTATGCACAACTATACTTACAAATTACAGCTGATAAGTACTAAGTTTTATTTTATAAATAATATGACTTGAATTTAGTTCTTGCCACTTCTGCTACTGTTCAGGAATATTCTATCTTAATGCAGTGCTCTCTGGAAACATAAAGCATAATTAACTGATAAAGACTGCATTATTGAAATACGAGTACTGTGAATTATTTATAAAACAATAAAATGTGTCAAACAATCTGAAGCTATTTAAAATGCATATATATTACTAGATCAAAATAATGTCATATTCTATACAAAAATGTATACACACTTTATGAATCTGAATATGCTACAATTAAGTTTGAGTACATTTTTCTCTGAATCGTAAGAATAGATACACATGGCTAGATGGAAGAAATCTGTGACTTTTTTATTTACTATGAGCCTATTTAGAAGATTAAATATGACTTAAGTTCAATAAACAAATATTTGCACAAATCAATAAGCTTTTATTGTGATGCTCCATGGATTTATGCCTGAGGTAAACTTAGTGGTAGTCTTATATGTGGTCTCAGCTGAAAAAAAAAATTATGCAGAAGGAATTTATTTGTATTTAAATAAATTATCTTTCTCCCTATAGATCTCTTTAACATTTAAGCATTTTAAGCAACAATTGCTTGTCTTTCCAAGTTATAAGATTTCAATATTATCCTCAATCTTTCAAAGAGCATGTACTATCATGAAATTATGTAAGATATAATTAGGCTGAATAAATTTGATTGAACTAATCAGTACAACTGGAGAAAGAAGCTATGCAGTCTAGGATCAGAAAAGGAAGACTACATGGGCTCAGAGCTGAGCACATGGAAACAGAGCCAAAGCAGAGAAAACAATAGAACAGGTGTGCATGAATATGTGGAAGCTCTCTAGGCTCAGTCCTTGGTTAATCCCAACTACACTGCAGGTGTCAACCTTGTAGCCCCCTTCCCCCACTAGGTGTGGATAAATTCTGTGATGCCACACAGCCAGTTATACAGTGGGGACAAAATTAAAAATATGATTTAAATCATTACACTGAGATTCTTCTAGGGCTTAATATTAATTCATTCTAATTACAGAAATAGAACCTCAAAATTGCCAGTATAAAACTAATATGTGAATACCTATATAGGATTATTTTGACAAAAATAGATTGGAAAATATATATTCTCTGAAATCAAATACACTTGGTATTTTGTCCCTAAAAATCTTTATGTGAATTAAACTCACACAAAGAATGAGGTTTAATTTACCCCAGTGAACTCTAATAAAAATAAGAGAATAACACTGATTCTTCAGTGATTATTTTTACCCCCTAATCAACACCTACATTAAGCGAGGTCGGTATCCAACAGAATGTATGTGTCAAAGAGTTTATAATTCCATTTATAGTTCTTTTAAAATGCATGAATCATTTATTGAATTATATTTAAAAAGATCACTGAATTGCAGAACAGGAAGAATAAAGCAGAATGTCTGCATAATATCACAAAGTGGTTCTAGCATACAGTGAAAGTCCTATGTGGTTTGCTTTATTAATGTTACACAACTTGACGAATTGATCTCCTGTTAGAAATATGAGGGACACTGAATTTTTGTTGTAAAGGTTTCTGATAATTTTATTTTGAACTTTTGAATGTGTTTTTGTTCTTAAGGTCTGGGAATTGGGAACATGTTCTATGTTTTTTATGAAGATGGAATCAAAGTGATACAACCCATAGAATGTGAATTTCAAAGGCACATTAAGCCTAGTGAAAAGCTCCTTGGATTTCAGGCAAGTATCTAAAACATTCCTTTGCAGTTTTATGTAGCAATTTTTTCAAGTAGAATTATGTTTTGAAAATACAGTGAAACTTATACATATGTGAAACTTGTGTTAGAAGGAAAATATTAAATCTGTGATATTGACTGTTGCTCTGTGAATCTTTGTATCTGAAAAGAAAAATAAAACAACATATTGTATACTCATAAATACTTGTTTGTAATTACAGTGAAGGTGATAAAAGCAAAATTTCAAGAATAAACAACATGAAATAACTTCCCCTAACTTCTGTTTTTAAGATGATTATTATTTTAATAAAATGAAGGAAAGTGGCATGTGAATAATTTGTGGGAAGTCAGATTATATTATATGCTTTATGAATGTTGATTTTTTTCATTATATTCATGGGGTCTCAATGAATGGGAAAATTTAGATTAAGTTAGAGGATATCAAATCCTATATTGATTCATTTTTTTTTAACCATAGAAATTTTAATATACAAATTTGGGTATCAAATTCAGAAAATGAAAAAAATAAAAGCTCTGTAAATATATGTATTGATTATTTATATTAAGGACATTCTGTTATTTTTATAAGTACTTATTTTTTTTTCATTGTTGTGGGTATATATATATATATATATATATATATCCAGATAAATTTTTGTGTACACTACAATATGGAATACTAAAATTGTTCATGCTATGTATGTGTTCCTACACAAGTACTATAAACACCCAAAATAAGATTAGCTATAAGGAACCTTATCAAGGAATCCTCTCCTGAGAGTCATATTTAAAATTCACATGGCCATGGTATATGAGTAAAAAAAATATGTTTGTTCATAGATTAAATGAATAAATAGATCTACCCGTTTTTTGTTATTATATCTTCTCAAGTACAGAAGCATTTTAAAATACTGATGTAACTTTCTTTTATATTCCTTATAATTCTAAATTCATTTTTAATAAGTTATGTTTATGTGCATATATATGAATAATAAACACATGAATAAAGATATACATTTTTGCTTCTCAAAAAGTAAATACTCCTTATCATGCAACTGTGACCTCATGAATATGATTTGCAAATTTGGAGAGAATATTTTTCCTTCCTATGTGTGTGCTATTCCAGTGTATTATGACTCCATATCATGTATTTTGGCACCTTTTGCATTGCTGTGACCAAAATATTAACAAGAACAACTTAGCAGAGGAAAAGTCTATTTTAGCTCACTATTTCAGAGGTCTCAGTTCATAGATGGCTGACTCTATCACTAGGGGTTCAAGGTGAGACAGAACACCATGGCTAAACCCCAAAACAGAATATAATCCCCAAAGGCAACCCCCTCTACTTCCTCCAGCCAAACCCTATATGACTATATTTACTGGCCAGTTAACTCATGAGTGGATTAATCCATCAATTAAGTTATGCCTTTCATAATGTCATTATATCACTTCTGAAGGTTTTTATTTATCTCAGAAATTAGCTTTGGGGTGACACCTCATATCTAAACCATAACATTATGTAATGCATTTCTTAAAAAATGTTTTTTTTTTCCATATCATTTTTGATGACTCTGGATAAGATAATTTAAACATTAGGAATCTAAACTTGAAAAACAAGCTAAAATTTGATGTGTTAGTTTTGTCACATGTCTGATGCAAAGGAATGTGAACTTTATTTACTTGAATTTCTGTTCCCTTGAAGACTTAATGAGATATCATTCTGAAACAGTAAAACAGAAAAATTATCCATATTTATTCATTTCAATGTATACAGACAATTCTGAATATGGTATCAATTAATTATTTAAATCAAAGCAAAATATGTAAGCAGGAAAAACAAATATATATAATGTACATATGAAGACCTATATACAAAAAGTTTTATACGATTTTCTATAAAATTAAAAATTAAAGAGAAGCTGGGCATGGTGGTACATGCCTGTAATCCCAGCAGCTCAGGAGGCTGAGGCAGGAGGATACCAATTTCAAAGACAGCCTCAACTACTTAGTGAGGTTCTGTTTCAAAAAAAAAAAAAAAAAAAAGGTGGAGTGTGCTATGGCTGTGGCTCCATGGTTAAGTTCCTTTGGGTTCAATCCCAGATAACAACCCCCCCCCCAAAAAAAAAAAAAAAAAAAAAAACTGAAGAAGAGATTAAAATGATGGCAAATTTAGCTTATTTCTTCCCATCAGATTACTCTTATTTAATGTACACATTAATAGTGACAAAGCAGTGACAAATTTCTCATTACTACAAACTAAGTTACTACATCAGCCAAGTCACAGCTCCTGGAAATATAGAGTCCAAACTGCACAGGTCAGAGTAGGATGATAAAACATGAATGAATGTAGCCTTCAGGTTAAAGTTTGTAGATCAGTCTAAAAACTCAAGCAGAAATTCTATGTTGAAGCCTTGAGGGAGATTCCCCATTTTTGCTCTTTGGAGACCCATGTTCACTATGGAGGGTAACCTGTTTCACTTGAAATTAACTGATGTTAAATATTAACCACCTGCACAAGCACCTTCACAATAAGAGCTAGAAGTATATTACCAAACAACTGGGTATTATGACCTAGGCAAGTGGATATACATAACCCGCCTTTACCTCTCCTCTCTTGCATTCAAGGACTAGGTTTAATTCATGTTTGTGTTCCTAACAAGTTCAGTACAATGCCTTAGACATGACAAATGGTCAAAAAACATTGGTTAAAATGACTTTAATAAGTATTCTCTTGCTTATGGTCTTTCCTACTCATTTTCTTAAGCATTCTCTAAGTTTAAAGATGTAGATGCATACATCTAATTTCTTACCCATGATAATATTTTATCTTACTTTACAATTCTCACAAAACCATTGTCTTCTGTGTTAGTGGTAAATGTTTCATAGAATACTTCATCATTGAATTGTTTCAGGATAAATTAACCTCATGGGTTTATTAATTCAGAATCACATGGTCAAATGGTCCTGTGTGGATATACTGTAGAAGACAATTTCTAGTATAGGAATAAAGCTAGTTTATCTGATTGTAGAAAATAAATCTCTTGAGTCCAAGTAGGGAAAATGAGGTTTTTTTGGAATCATTTTCCCCACAAAAAAGAATTGAACATGGATATAGTATTTTTGACATTTGCTTCAACATTAAGGGAATTGTAGCACTATTCCCATTATAACTTGTTGATAAGTAAATTTTAGATAAAAGCTGATATATTTAGAATATAGAATCTTCCAGCAAACCTCTCAGAAGATGCTAATGGTTTGCTCTAAATAAAAATTCAATTTTGGTGCAATGTCAGATATCATTAGGTTTCAGCTTTTGAGAGTGATTTGGTGAGGATTCATAAACAAGCTTTCAGATATTCTTTCACTTTTTCCCCCTTTTTTGTTCTGTGGTTTTACTAGATAGGATTCTTGCTATATTTATCTTAGCCTTATACAGGATTTCATCTTGTCGCCTAGAATATGAACTTCAAGAAAATAGAATTCTATGTCAGACTTATGGATTCAGAACTCAAACTGAAATGAGTTTGGAAAAAGATGTTTAAAATTACAAGGTCAACAATGACAATCTTTTCCAACATTGCCTACTTTTTCACTCTTTTGGTTTTCAACTATGGTGTCATCCTTATCTGTCACTCTCTTATTGTTTAATGGTCTTTAAATACAGTCACCTTCTATGCTTATAGATCTGGCTTATTATAGATCTAAATGCTCTTCTTCACAAACACCATGGTGTTATGTATTCTTAATGTCCTAGAAGAGCTTTAAAGAAAACCACCCCTGTCTTATTGTACATAGGTTCTATATTATAGAACTTAAAGGTTCTATTCCCAGTTTGTTTTTTTGTTTGTTTTTGGTACTGAGGATTGAACTCAGGTGTGCTAAACCAGTAAGCCACACATACCCAACTCTTTTAATATTTTATTTAGAGCAGAGTCTCACTGAGTTGCTTGAGGCCTAGCTAAATTGCTGAGGCTGACTTTGAACTCACAGTCCTCCTGCCTCAGCCTCCCAAGCCACTGGGATTACAGGAGTGTGCTACCATGCCTGGCCTATTCCTAGTTTTAATGGTAATTAGAATGATATCAAAGAGTATCAACTGAATTCACTATCCTTATTACAAGAAGTCTGATATGAATCTCTAAAATGTTTTTATTCTGATTTTAGAATTTCTGCATTTGAAAATTAGTACTTTATTAGTATAAGATTTGTATATAGGAATATGCTGTCCGCAGTGTCCAAAATACTTAGATATTAAAAAACGGACACTGAAATTAGAAATGGGGAATGTGGTAGTCCACATCTTTTTCTCTGAGGGTGTTCCCTCCTTCTCTGGAGGAAAACAGCCTTGGGGGCATGTGTGAATTCCCTTAGTAATACTTCCAATTACCATTTTTCCTTCATTCTGTTTCTAATCCAATTATTACTTTTCCAAACTTGGTCCACAAAAATACTTGTTAAAACACTAACCCTTTCTCACAATGTGGACAATTCCTTTCCCCATGAATCAGTGAACAACTTTTTCATTCAGCATGCCAGAAAGGTAATCAAAATGTTTCCCCACTTAGTCTTTTCTCTGTGGGTCTCTATTCAAACATGGCTTAACTTAGAAAGAATTATAGAATGATAAAAAATTAAGCTTTTGTCCCTTTGTAGTTACAATGATATCCTATGAAGAGTTTCCTAAGGAAAGTAATGTAAACTGCTTATAAATATTCCTTAGAAGATTATTCTGTAGATTTCAAAAGAAATAAGTTTATGAAATTAGTCATTGAAGTGCTAGATTTAAAAAGGTCTTTTAATGTTTTATTTAAAATCACACTGTTTTACAATTCTCACTTTGCATTTCTATCAGACTTCAGCATATAAGCTAAGCATTAGGAGATGCAACAGTGGCAAAAGCTTATAAAGTGTGCAACAGCGTCCAATGGAGTAATACAGCATTATTAAGGAAGTCCAGAAACATTATCTAAAACAGTAAATGAAATCCTTTTCAGAGGTTTGTGC